AAACCAGTTTTATTTAAGAAAGAACTTGTGTCGCTAAAGTTTCGTCGGAACGAATTTACGGAAAATTTACCCAAATGTAGAAATACTTAAATATATCAGGAATACCGTAGTGGAAAAGAGTAAAATATATTGTTCGGTTGTAGTAACTATATAGACGTTTATGTAATGTTTTATTTAATACCTATATATATATATATATCTGTATATTAGAATTAAGCTGCGTCAAATAGTATTGTTTAAATTGACTTACTTTTCTTATCTTTTAACTTAGAAGTATTAACCACTACAATATACTATGTCCTAGTTCAAAGTTGTTTTTCTATGTCATTTCATTCGTTGTTACAAGTGGAAAAGTTCAAGTGTTCATTTGTCCTGGAGATCACCGAAATTTTTCCTATTTCCGTAAATTTTTATAGTAATGAATAACGTCAGTAAACTCTGGGTATCCGGTAGTACTTACAAATAGCATAAAAAAAAAAACAACAAAGGTCGGGAACTATGTACTGATCGAAAATAGAGGAAAAAATAAACAGGACGGTCTACCAGTGTAGTAAATAAGGTCAAAGATTCGTAATGTATATTGCATATATTAGGTTTCTAGAACCAGGAAAGTCTTCCACACAAGCGTGTAATTTATCAGCTTATGAAATACTATAAAAGTATTGCATAAAATGATGTAATGATTGCATCTTTTACTGTTTTAGCTTTCATAAACATTAGCAAAAACAAATGGGACACTTCTCGTTGTGTATCAGAAACTACAGTAGGGAGAATTAATTTGAATAGATTGGGCGCTTTTGTAATAAAGTGAAATTTATAATTTCATTTTCAGTCATAAAGCCAACAAATTTCTCTCACCCATCTCTGAGATATGAATGATATGCTTAAACAGCGAATTACTGTGACTTTAACGTTCAAACATTGAAAAGGGTAACAAATCCCACAGGGTGCGAGTCGAGCTCCCTGAACACCAGGGCATGCCAGGCCCTACACAGAAAGATTTTGTTGATAGGACTGCCATTGGCACAGCGGTATGTCTGCGAACTTATACTGCGAGAAACTGGGTTTCGATACCCGTGGTTGGCAGAGCACAGGTAGCCCTTTGTGTACCTTTGTGCTTAATAACAAACAAACAACAGCCATTGAACTTGCACCGAAATATATGTATGAACGTTTTTTTTTATATGGGAGACCAGATGAAGAACTTTTCAGACAGACTAGTAACTTTAACTGTCTGTTTGTAGTTTAGCACAAAGCTACACAAAGGGCTATCTGTGCTCTGCCCACCACGGTATCGAAACTCAGTTTCTAGTGTTGTAAGTCCTTGGACATACCGCTGTACCATTAGGGGTCGTAACTGTTAATTAGTGCAATCAAAACACTTAGTTTTCTGTTAATCAGTTCCTACGATTTTCAGTAAAAGGTACTCGTATCACCACAACAATACCTCGCAGAGCAAACAGATCTGCATGAATAACTTTAGTTACCACAGCAAAATTTCTTTCAACATCTCGCACTATTCACAGCTTAAACCACTACTAAAGCTAAGATAATTCCTTTACTTATCTGTCTTATTAAAAATTAGAGAAAAATATTATGAGAAAATAATCTTTGAAGCATGTAACGCTCATTTGGAGATTGTTTCTTAAGTAACTGGATGTATTAATAAAGAGCAAGGTTCAGTCCTATCACCATTAAATGCTCTACTATATGAAAATCAGTCTTCGTTATTAGTCTTCATTATATGCTTTTTATACTTGGTTTTGGATTGCTAATTCAGCTTACCTTTGAATTTGTACTTTGTACCATTATAATGCTCAGTTTAATTACGCTTTTGTTATGTTTTATGGAAATAAATAAGCACGAAGGGGAACTACTTTATACTCAGCTCAATTGAATTGTCAGACTACGATATTCTAGGCTCTTATTATTTATTTAAACTTTGTAAGAATAATCTATACAGAAAATTAGATGAAGGAGGATACAAAGTATGATTGTATTTATCAGTATCTAAATTCCTTCAATATGAATCAGTTATATTTTCAATTCTCCATTGACTGGATATCTTAGCATCAAAAACACCGGAAAAAGAAAACTGAAAGGTTCGACTGGTGTTTATTTAACGAATCTATGGAACATTGATGCTGGGAAGAAACATGTGTGGTGATAAGTATGATCAATGATATAGTTACAGTATTTCTAAACACATCTAAAGTTATTCATTGTGGCTAACTGTAGAAATGCCGTGGTCAGAAAGATACATCTATAATTGAGTGGCTGCTGTGAATGTTCATGTGCAACCGTAAATGTGATCAACATTGTAAAGTATCGGATTTCGTTATTCCATGCATCGTTCATTGTGTCTAGCTGTAGATACACCATGGCAAGAAGACACGTTTCTTGGTTATTTACAGAAGAGGTCAAACGAGACGATAATTTATTCACAAGTAATTTGCAGGTGCAGAATTGTTTCTAGATGTAGCCCCAAACAATGAACTAGAATTAGCCCATTGGAGACTTCGTCCTTAGGAAAAGTAGTGAGCAGAAATGAAAAGATTTCCAGAGGTCAGGAAGCTAATGTTTGTTTGTTTGTTTTGAATTTCGCGCAAAGCTACACGAGGACTATCTGCGCTAGCCGTCCTTAATTTAGCAGTGTAAG